CTTCTTTTCCCTCTTCCCCTTCTCTGTTCTCTCCCCGTTTCCTCCACTTTCACAACCTCTTCCCCTCCCCCTATGGTATGCATCTCCCATTCCCTCCTTTTCTTTCCTTTTTCTCCTCTCCCTCTCTCTCCCTCCCTTTTCTACCTTCCCCCCCTCCCCTTATGACATCATCTCCCATTCATCCTTCCTCTCTCCTTTCCCTCTCCCGCGCCTCCTCTTCTTTCCCAATCCCATCCCTTCATCTCGCTCTACCTTCCCCCCCCCCCCTCCCCTTATGACATCCATCTCCCATTCATCCTTCCTCTCTCCTTTCCCCTCTCCCGCGCCTCCTCTTCTTTCCCAATCTCCATCCCTTCCTATCCTCTCTCCGTCGCTTTATGGCTTTTGTTCTTCCATTCCATCTTTTTTCTCTTCCTCTCCCTCTCCTCATCCCTTCCTTCCCTTCCTTACCTTCCCCCAGCCCTGTATGACACCCTTCTCCTTCCTCCCCTACTTACTCCCTCCACCTTTCCCCCTCCCCTACCTTCCCCCTTTCCCCCTATGACGCCCACATTCTTCGCCCACCTTCTTCTCTCCTCCTTCTCCTCTCCCCCCCTCCCATCCTCCCTTCCCTGCCCCATCCCTCCCTCCCTTAATCTCCATCCCTTCTCTTAATCTCCTTCCCTCCCCCTGTGGTTTTCCTCGAGGTGACAGCCACGTTTCACTGAAGCCTAGCAGCAACAGCCAGCAGTGCCTGTGCAAGGGCAACATCACACTGGATGCTGTATATAAGGAGCTCGCGATTCTTGGCGTGGCACAGTGCCTCCTCCGCCTTGTGGCTCCTCGGAACACGCATTCATTCTCAGCACTTTCAGCTCTCCTGTAACGAAGGTCTGGGTCTTATGTAAATCATTATTTATCTGTTTTTACGTTTATTTACTTATTCAGTCGTTTATTTATTCATCTATTTATTGTCTTTTATGTCATCATCTTCAACATGAACCGTGTTCATTGTGACAAATGTAGGAATGGTTTGAATGAGGATGAATATCTTCACAATGCAAGAGATGTATTTGACTGGTTTCGATTATATCTTTGTCAGAAATTCATGTATATCTGGCGAAGAAACCGATTAGATACATCTCTTGCACTTGCTCTTATGCCATCCTATACCATCATTTTCATTGTTGTTATCATTAATTTATTATCATTACTGTCACTGTCATCATCATTATCATCATATCAACATTATTGCTATCGTTATCATCGTTACCATAAGCGTTAATGTTATCATTATTATTATCATCACTAACATTCTGTTTGTCCAAACAACGTGTGAATCTAGATTAAGTTTAAGTTCAGATGAGCAAAGAAGCAGTAGGAACATTGTATGTAGTTAATGGTAAATGATTCTCAGATATTGTTCTTAATGATGATGAAGGAGAATTTTAGCTAATTTCATGTGTTGTTACAGGCAAAATGATACTTGTGGATACTGCAGATATTAAAGAGAAAAAAAAACAGAAAAGTATGAAACATTAACGTCAATAGTATTTGTGGATATTTCTAACATAAGAGGGAATTTCCAACTTTACCAAGGCCTGCTAGACTTACAATCTCTCCCTCTTTATCTCCCTCGTCTATTCAACCACACACAGGTCCAGAGGCGACCCCGGAGGACATTATTAACGTAAGCAGGCCTAACGAGGCAGGTGACAGAGGCTTCCAGCTTTCCTTCCTCCCCCTTCCCAGTATAAGCCGTGCGTGTCTTTACAGGTCCCTTCGGCAGCCATGACTACCGTCACCGTCGGATTGTTGGCAGGGACCGCAGGCGGCGCAGGACTCGCCGGTCTGGCCGTCGCAGGAGCTGTAGGTTTGGGCGTCCTGGGCTTGGCCGCCCTCGCCTCCAGAGGCGGAAGGCGCAGGCATCGTGGTGGAAGGAGGAGGCATCACCACCGCGGGCGTCGCTCCTCCGTGGAGGTGGACACCGAGTGGAGGATGCAGAACGCCCTCGAGTTGGTGCGGGCGGAGGACGTGACAGGATGTGGCATGAGGCTGGTGTGCGAACTGGCCAGCCAGGAGGAACAGGATCTGGTAGAGGAGGAGCTGGCCATCTTGGCATTGCTTGGGTGAGTGCCAGGCGTCCCTCCAAGGCGGCCTCATAGTGTTTCTGACTGAGAAACAACGCTAGAAGCTTTAACTTTTATGCTGATCTGTCATCCCTTCTTTACAGACCCGACGTGAAGCCCGGAGAGGGAGTCCTCCCCCCCGGGGGCGCCAGGGGAGAGTACCTGCAGGCCAGGAGCTTCGGCGGACGAGGCGGGGACTGCGGTGCCGCCTTCCCCATGTGTCCACTCAACGGCACACAGCTCATGGACACCGTCATGGCCTACCTGCCCTGAGACATTCCTGCCGTGCTCGCCCTCTGCCTCATGCTCCCTCACATACATACATTTTTGCTTTTCATTGTCATCAAAGAACCCAAATTTTCAAGACGATAAATAAAGTCCGACCAATAATGCCTGTATATTTATCTCACCTACAACCAAAAGACCTACAGTGAATGCACATATACACAGACACATGAAAGCAAAAACAGCTACAAAAAGAAATGAAGCAATAACGTTATTGTTTCATTTCTTATTGTGGCTGTTTTTCCTTTTCATTTTTTGTGTACGCGTTACTGTGTTTGTGTTCTTGTTCATACAGACATATCTTTACACCACGTTAAGTACCACATGTAAATAATGAATAGTTTGCAACATAATGACTTCCGAGTCTCATACTAACAATTGTTATCAACATAATGACAAACCTTTTCGACGAAAAGTGAAAATGGTCTCTTTGCATATTTTGAAAGAAGAAATAAAGCATAATTATCTTATAGCTAAATCTCGCTTACATTAATGACCAAATCGACAAATCTATAATTCAAGTACCAAACAAAAAAAATATATATATCTATCACTTGTATATAAAAGAGCGACGCTTCAAAATAATTCATTCAAATGCGTCACTGAAGCAACATAACATCCGTCTCAGATCCTCCTCCCCCACGGGCACAATGCAAGGTTAGGGCAAGTAGAGAAATATAAGAGATGATAATTTTATTGCAGTTTAAAATGACAAAATAAAAGGTAGAGAATCTTGCTATCATATTTTGTGTTTGCGGTAACCTGTCAAGTGACCAGAGAGTTTATGACTTTTCTAAAGCGTCAAAACTTTTGGTCAGACGTTGAAAAAAAAACATTTTTTTACATCTAATGTGTAATGTCATGTTTTTATTCAGTTCGCATTGTGGTAGAGGGTCATTATATATATATATATATATATATATATATATATATATATATATATATATATACGTGTGTGTGTGTGTGTGTGTGTGTGTGTGTGTGTGTGTGTGTGTGTGTGTGTGTGTATGTGTGTGTGTGCCTGTGTGTGTGTGCCTGTGTGCGTGTGCGTATGTGTGTACGTGTGTGTGTATGTGCGTGTGTGTATACTGTTTACAAATACAACGAAGCGAAGAAGAAAACACGAGTCTACCGAAAGCCTTTTCACCGAACTGCTTCTTCAGGTCATGAAGCAGCAATAAAGCGAAAAGGCCTTCGGCAGATTCGTGTTTCCTTCTTCTTCGCTTCGTTGTTTTATTTGTAATTCGTTCGACATGAATCCCACCCGTATACACACATACATACATGTGCTGCTCATTATTGTTACAATGGCTATTTTTGTTTGTTTTCTGTTTTGTTATTATTATTACTATTTACTTATCATTATTATTACTATTATTATTATCATTATCATCATTATCATTATTATCATTACTACTACGATTATTATTATCATTACTATCATTAACATCATCATCTTCATCTTCATCACAACACCATCATCATCATTATCATCACCATCTTCATCATCATCTCAATCATCAACATCATCATCATTATCTCAATCATCAACATCACCATTATCATCATCATCATCATCTCAATCATCACCATCAACATCATCATCTCAATCACCATCATCATCTCAACCACCATCATCATCATCTCAACCACCATCATCATCATCACCATCACCATCATCATTATCTCAATCACCATCATCATCATCATCATCTCAATCATCAACATCATCATCATTATCATTATCATTATTATATACTATTCTCTTTATTTATTTATCTATTTATCTTTTTTGTAATGTGATAGTCGGAAGATAGGTTGATAAAGCAACGCAAAAAGAAAAAATGACAACGGCGCCTACGCGTGCCCATTTCACGCTTGGCATCGCGAGGACCGAGGCAAAGGCGGAACCACTGAGCCATGGAGGTGTTATGGAAGTGGTTAAAAATAGATCTTTTTTAATGTTTGATTGTCGTGCCTTCTGTGTTTAAGTCATGAACGTTGAATTAGTATTATTGTTTATGATATTTATATTGTGATGAAAATAACTATTGTTGTCATTGTTATTGTTGTTAAGTAAAGGGAGGTGAAGTAAATTAATTTTTATCCTCTGTAACGTAAGTTTTTTCTTGTTGTTATTGTTAGTGTTAGAATTACTATTCTCACTACTATTATTACTTTCATTAATATTACGATTATTATTGTTATTATTTTTTATTATAATTATTGTTATTAATATCATTGTTACACATTATTATTGATATTCTTCTTATTGTTATTACTTTTATAATCATTATCATTATTATTCTTAGTATCAATATTGTCATCATCATTCTTACCCTTATTATTAGTATTATTATGATCTATAATATTACCATTACTGTTACTACCATGACCATTACCATCATTATTATTATTACTATCAGCAGCACCACCAACATCATCATTATTAATATCATCAACATGCGTGAAAGACTGGCCTCATCATTATTATTATTACAACGATCCTTATCATCAAAATCATAATCACAACTATAATCATAATCATCACCATCGTCACCAGTACCAACATTATCATTATCACTATTATTATCGTTATTATTATTATTATTATTATTATTATTATCATTATTATTACAGTCACTGCCATTAATTACCATGTCGTTGTAACGTTTAAACGAATCATTGGAGAAAGAGAGAGAAAGAGAGAGAGAGAGAGAGAGAGAGAGAGAGAAAGAGAGAGAGAGCGAGAGAGAAGGTAATGGAAACATATAGTTTCACAAGTTATTGTAGCCCAAAAAAAGTACTGAGGGGGGATAAGAGAGCATGCTAATCCTTCGCTGAAATCTACACACGTGAAGAATTGCGCAATCATGTCCACCTTTCCCTTCGCCGTTTCCCATTAGATAAGAATCTACATAAAAAAAACATTTTCACCCTATAAAATGCAAAATAAGAAAAAGGAAAACGAAAAGATAAAAAAATCAACGGCTCCTACGCGTGCCCATTTCACGCTTGGCATCGCGAGGACCGAACTCACGGCCGTCGGTCTCCGAGGCAGAGGCGGAACCACTGAGCCAAGAAGGGGTTATGGAAGTGGTTATAAATAAGTCTCTTGGAAGTGGTTATAAATAAGTCTCTTGGAAGTGGTTATAAATGAGTCTCTTTCACTGATTGATTATCTTACTTTTTGAAAGCTAGGTTACTATTATCGGTATATCATTATCATTAGATTTGTTATTATTATTATTACTGTTGTTATTCATGTTATTAATGTTATTATTATCAATATCAGTATCAGTATTATTATTATTTTATCATTATTATTATCACTGTCATTATTGTTTTATTGTTTTATCAATATCACTTTTATTATTATTACTATTGTTACTGATAAAAATATTATTATCATCATCGCTATTATTATTGCTATTATTGTTAATGATATTATTGACATAATTATTGATATTATTATCATTATAATTATTATTATGGTTATCATTACTATTAATTATTATCATTGTTACTATCATTATTATAATTATAATTATCATTATCATCATTATTTTTGTGAATGTTATGATTATCATTATTATCATTATTCCAACTTTTATCATTATTATCATAATTAACTTTACAATCATTATTATTATTATTATTATCAATACTAATATCATTGTCATTATCATTATTATTATTATTATAACTACTATTATCATTATGATTATTATTATCTTTTATTATTATTATTATTATTATTATTATTATTATTATTATTATTTTTATTATTACTATTATTATTATTATCATCATCCTCATCATCATCATTACTTTTATCACCATTATTACTGTTATTATCACTATTACTATTATTATCATTATTATTTTAATGTTGTTGTTGTTATTCATCATCATCAGCATCATCATTATCATCATTATTGTTGTTATTCTTGTGATATTATTATTATTATCATTATTAACATTTTTATGCTTATTATCATCATCATTATCCTGTTTATTATTATTAGCATTATTATCATTATTATCATCATTGTCATACCATTATCAATATCATCATCATCATTGTTATCATCACTGTTATCATTATCATTGCTATCCTTCTTATTATCATGATCATTATCGTTGCTATTGTCATTATCATCAGTATCATAATCATTATTGTTATTAATGCTGTTATCATTGTTATCATTATTATTATCATTATTATTATCATTATTATCATTATTATTATTATCATTGTTGTTATTATTATTATCATTATTATTATTATTATCATTATTATCGTTATTACTATTACTATTATTGTTATCATCATCATCGTTATCATCATCATTATTGTGGGACTAAGCAGCTCTGTAGCCCCGGGAGATGCCTTGTGCAATTTGATAGTATATAACAGTTCTCCCATGAAGGACCTAGAACCCCATGCGATCTGATATAAAAGCTCTAAATCAAAGCATAAACAGCTGATCAAAAATTACTTTTAAAAATAAAATCAGGCAGTAATAAAAACACAAAACATGGATGTATAAAATAGTACTAAAACGGGTCGTAAATATGAAATTTACGGTCACCTTGATATGGCAGATTATCATTATATAAATTAAAGTCGTCCAGCTCATAATTGATAAAAAAAAACAAGACAACTGTCAGGACACACGTAACTTTTGTGTCCCTGAAGTATCAAACGGTCTCCGTTGTTTGCTGAAGCCGGCTGCAGTTCAGTCATAAAAAAATGGGATTGAGAGAAATACACTTGTACTTGAACCAAGTGCGGGCATCGACTGTTTTTGTTTTGTTTTTTTGCATGTGTGGGAAATAGGGTTACACACATGCCGTGACGTCACGGTCGTACATCTTTACAATCACCAAAAGACGTAAAAAATAATAACATTTCATAAAATAATATTAAAAATACTCATTAAAACTGAAATGGAGTAAATTATGTGAACGAACGAATAGTGTAGCGAATGGAAAGTTAAACAAAAGAAAACCAAAGAAAACCAGGCCCAAAACGGGCGTAACTAAAAGAAACCAAAAACTCCCCCCAAACCGTGAATAAAGACAAACAAATACGTGAAAGTAT